ATAATGGTGAACCATCTGCGGACCCCATATATAATGTGACTTTTGTGTACATTCATTTTCATTGATAAAATACACACAGGAAGACATTACAACATTAAATACAGTAATTATAAAGTGTATTCAGTCGAAATAAAAGGATTCTGATGGTTTAGCTTCATTCTCAAGAGACGATATAGCAATGAAAAAATATAATGTATCAAGTGATGAAAGAGCAATGAAAATCATGTTTTTTATACCCCTCATAGGACAAAGGAACACTGAAAAAAACATGCTACTGTTACACATTTTACAATGATAAATGTTGTATCATGTATCAGTACATGATTTGTAATGAGAAAAATGTATTTGTTTAAAATGATCTTTTTTTGTGGGTACTCACTGGTTTACAGACTGTACTTACTTGGCACACGGTTTGAAACTGTTTCTGGAATTTTTAAACTTCTTTTTTGGACCACAGTAAACCACAGTTACTGAAACCCCGGACACTGGGGGACACACTGTAATAATTAGCCAGTTTTCTTATTTATCACTGCGATTGGCCAATTCTGATGGTTCATACGACCATTTTGACGTATGTTTTTAAAAATATTTTGAGGTACACATTAATGATCATTGTCATTTTTGTTATTTTCAATCTTTTGCATGCTTGCACACTGCTACGTGTTCTAGTGCAGTGTATACGCCTATGTACACGCCTATGTGCAGTGTACACACACTGTGCACGTGCCTATGTAGGGGCATGTTGCTATCTTGATAACACACCCTTTAAATAACAGTGAAATACTGCACCATTGACTTTACACCAGGTTTTCGTTGGTCAATAACACAATCACATTCCGCTGGCTGAAGATAGCGATGTGCCAACAAAACACCTGATTCCGCCTCATTTTAGGACCGATATGCTCATGTGTGCTCAGATGGGCACGAGTACATTTGCTATTTAAACAACATGGGCACTGGAAAATAACAACTGCATTGGGCTCATGCTAGTAAAGATTTGCATTGCAGCTGGCTCCGCATTGCTCTGGGTGTAAAATAGGACCCTACTGTATGTCTTCTGCGTGGTATTTCAGAAGACAGTCTGTCTCACTGCTCCTTAGTTTTCCTGGTGACATTGATGGTTACTTATCAACACAATGGAGGCAACCAAGAAAACTAAGCTCCGCCTCTCTGTGGAATTTGGTAAAAAAAAAACTTGTAAGTTCAGCAAAGGGATTTACTGACCCCTTTCTTGTGTTGATCGCACTTGTTCCTGTCTGACTTATCAGCCACTACTATCCTCTCAATGGATCAATGGCGCAAATGAAGTGGCCCGTTCTGGATGCAAATATATTGTGAGATATCCCTGGATATCTGCTTACAGAAACAAAAAGCCACCCACTTACCATCGTGGGCAGAGTGTCTGATTTTCAAAATGCGATAATAATGTATAAGTCCTGTCTCACAAGCGAGCATGTTAGCCGCTTTTGTGCAGAATGTCAAGTGATGCAGGAAGAGTTAGGCTGCATAATTCCGATCAGCTTGGATGCCATCCATGAACGATAACTGTTAGAGGTTACATAACAAATATTACTTTTTACAGAGCTGCTCAATGAGAGCAGCGATTGGATAATAAGATATATACCATGCATTTTCCATTACCACTTACAGTGAACTAGTACAGTGTCACAGTGAACTTGGAGGACAGGGCACAAAGCTGGGAGCTCTGCAGTTTAGTGGCACCTAAACTGATTTGAAGCTGCAGCACCAGGGGAAATGCCAGGGGAGAAACGAACTCCACAAACAGAGCCAGGGCTGTGAATCGGCCATGACTGAGCCGCTAAATTGCTGAGCCACTATCCTTTAACAGACATTATTAAATATCTGGTAAAGCTTTTCATTAATTGTACCTTCATGATGTCATTATAATGCATTAGTAGAAGATTCAGTCCACCTTCATAATGCATTCATAGAACATTCAGTGCACCTTGATGATGCATTTATAATTCATGCATAAAACATTCATAAACATCATGTAAATAGACCATAACATCCTGATTTACACTATATGAACCAGGGGTGGTTATCCCAAAAACCTGCATACACACTGGCTCTTTGCAGATAATATTGCTTACCCCTGATATGGACAATAGTATTGGGACACACCTCTTAATCGGTGAATTCAAGTGTTCCATTCAGACCCATTGTCACAGGTGTATAAAATCAAGCCCCCAGCCATGCAGTCTTGTTTCCAAACATTTGTGAAAGAATGGGTCATTTTGAAGAGCTCAGTGAATGTAATTGTGGTATCGTCATAGGACGCCACCTTTGCAATGAGTCAGTTTGTGAAATTTCTTCCCTGCTAACAAATACTATATGATAATAACAAACATTATAATCATATAATGTTTGTTATTAGTATATACTAAAGCTGGTATGTTACAATGTTATGGTATACTTTCTATAAACACATTATGAAGGTACTATGAATGTTCTGTGAATGCATAATGAATGCATTATGACAGCAGTTTATGTACAGTAAAGCATTGAGAAATGTTTTGTTTAAAATATGAATCAAGCCATTTCTAACATTGATAATTGAATAAATGAGATGACATTTTTGACAATCAAAAATGTATGGATACATTTAAGCATTTATTGCCCACACTTTTCTTTTTCTAAACAGAAAAATGTTACATGAGCCAAGGTGAAGTTTCACTTCAAAAAGAGAATTAGGGTGGTTAGATGGATGAATAATATAGCAAGAAGTAAAACTTAAATTCATATAATGCAATCATAGTTTCTTTTATGTTTTACTTTGAAAAGCAAAAATAATTATGAATTCATTGATAATGTGAAGTATGAATCAGTGCTGTACATCTTCATTTGGGCTTCAGTGTGAAACTTCCACAATTTCCTCACACTTTTTGTGTTTCTGTACAAAGAATCCTTTTGATGAGAAATCCAATTGTGACATGCTGTGCTAATTGTTTATAATGTTTCAGACGCCTGTGTGAGACAGTCTTTTTTACGAAAAACACCATAAAAGAAAAGAAAGCAATGTGTAATCAGGAATCCTCCATGCAAGTGTAGATTTTATGGTCATAAAAGGGCAAATTTAAAATTGACTTATTTAAGTTATATGGCGTTGACTCTTTTTTTTCCATTTTTTGTTGTCAGCATAGTTTTTCCATTATGCAAACTAATTCTTTGATAGTTGATTATTGACATAAATAAGACTTATTTTTTTAATAATTGTAAAAAAACTGAAATGTTAATCCTTGAAATCTGGAGTAGTTTGCCTTTGTGCGAGCAATTCAACTGCATTCAAGTAGGACACAAATAAATGAGTCATTACCATGTCATTGCTGAAATTGCAGGGACAAGATTTAAAAAAATAAAAAAAAAAACTGGAAAAATTACAACCCAGAAAATAACAAATGGTGTTACAATGGGTTGACTTAAACCCTGCGGAAACATCCTAACTACCCAACCACAATATCCGGTGAACACGTCAAGCTGTATATCAAATTTAAAACCCTGATCCTAGGGCAATCCCCACGGGGGCTATTCCAGCCTATCTAGGGGTAGAAGGCTGTAACAGAAATTACAAAGCAGAGGAAGAGCAAAGTTAATAAATGGAGAGGAGGAGAAATCACTGAACGATGTGAGGAAGAGATGAATAACCACAGTGTATTATTTCTATTTACTATTAAACAAAAACTATACCATAAGAGAAAGGACTCTGTTTGCCAGAGGTGGGCAACTTGAGTCATATGACTCTCAGGCTGTGTTCGGAATGCCCGCTTGTCCACAATATAGTGCTCTACATAGTGAATAGGCCATTTTGTAGTCAACAGGCAAGCAAGTCAAAACATAGCAGGCAAAATTCACACAGTAGCACTTCAACAGCAAATAGTATCAACAACCAGGCAACAAAGCTGCTGGAATCCCCTCCCCGCAGCAATTTTTCATAATACTGAAGACAGGCAACAATCTTTGCAGTGGATGACGGGAGTGAAGTTAAGCGGAAAACCAGGAACGAGGATCACTGACATGATCTTATAATTAACGTGAACATTTTTTTTGATTCTGTCTGTTCCACACAATCATGATAAATTATGAGATTATGAGATGAGTCAAACTATAAGTTTGTCTCCATATATGTTAATTATTATTGAATCTTAACACTGCTCTATGTGCCCTTAAATTGCCCCTCGGGGACAAATAAAGTGTTTGATTGATTGATTGATTGATTACATATAGATCCCATTGAATTGATTACAAAAATACCATATGTTGGGCATGGACAGTACCTGTGGCTGCCACATATGGTATAATAAACCTGAATTTTAATCCATCCATCTGTATTCCATATTCCCATTACAGACAGCTCTGGGTATGAAGCTGGGGTAGGATTCCAGTCTGTTGTGTGGTGCATATACTCCTACAGACTACTACACTACAGTCTTTGGACCAGGAAAGTAAATAGAGGAGATCCTCATGAGAATAGAATGCAAAGTCCCCACAATATAATGCAGTATATTCTGCACAGGGGCAGCGTGTGGCTCAGTCGGCTAAGCCTCTGTGCTTGTGATCAGAAGGTTGCCAGTTCAGGCCTGGCTTCTGCTGGTCCCTAAGCATGGCCCTTGACCCCCCCAGTTCCCTGGGGGCTATGGGTGACTGCCCTTCACAACCAGTTTGTTCTTTTCTACAGAGAGGGTGGCGTAAAAAGAATTTTCCCATGAGGGTCAATGAAGTGCTTCTTATAATTATTACAAATGGGGGGGTTGAAATTAATTTATTTAGTCAACACATTTCCAAAGTGAAATACAGACAGGTAATATACGCAACTTATTTGAATATTAACTTTCCTTACATCAATATTTATTTATTTTTCCCCAAACATTCAGGTAATCTACTTGTGTTAACATAGTTATTTGTTGTGCATTTTCTTCAAAATTTCCCACTACCATAAAGTGTTGAGTTTTTTCAACAATAAATTTTGTCATTCTTTGTAGATCCTCCCTTCATCAAAGAGGCCAAGAGCTCTGAAACCCAAGTGGGACGTCTGGGTGTCCTGCAGTGTGACGCATCAGCCGTACCTAAGCCTGAGTTTGATTGGTACAGAGATGACAAAAGGTAAAGTTACATTGCATTTTTTTTCTTCCTGTATTGGCCTACCTGATCATTATAGTATGGGACAGCGTGTGGGACAGGAAGTTTTATGAGTATTTCTACTATGTAAGCAAGCATAAAGCATTGAAAAAAAAATTAAAACAAACAAAATGCATTCTCTTCTTCTAGACTAATCAACACCCATGGAATTAACATCCAAATCTTTGGGAGTCGCACTCTCTTGGTGGTTTCCAACGTTACTGAGGATGATTATGGAAATTACACATGTGTGGCTACAAACAAACTTGGAAATCACAATGCCAGTCTGTTCCTATATAGTAAGTATACAAGTATCTTTTATTGGAAGGATTTTTCTAAATGTTTTGAAAATATATGGATGTACCTTTAAATTATTATTTGTTTAGTTTTTGAACAAAATGGAAACTTATACGGCTAATTCATTTGTAAATGACTTAATTGATTATGTATAATACCTTTTTAATGATTTTGAATAAATTATGTAAGTTGATGTGAGTTAAAAACTCTAGTTAGACACATGGATTTCTTTTTGAAAACTACAGCAGCGGTTCATGAAAAATTGCATTTAACAAATATACTACAGTCTGAATACTCAGTCAAAAGGAAATATGACTTTGGTTGGCTATTTTTTGGAGGTGAAATACCCAAAGGTACCATTGGCTTATTGACTTGGATTTGGTTATCATCTATGATTTACAGAGGAGACCTTGAAGCAATTGCCACTCTAAGCTAATGAAGTTTAAAGGTAGCAAAGTTTAGCTCTTAAATTTTGTTTCTGAAATATTCAGTTTGCTCAAACTTTATTACTGCCCTCTTTTTGTGCACATTTTTCCAGTACATTCACTCATCTTCACTGATGCCTTGATCCAATGACTATTCCTCACTTATTCACCTGTAAAAGTGTTTGTTTCGATCATCTTAATTCATGCCCCACATGGAAAGAACCTATATGAGGATATATGCGCATATATGAAACCTATATGCAGTATATATGCATGTATATGCTGCATATATGCGTATATATGCCACATATAGGCAAAATTGAGGTGCATACTGTATATGTGCATATACAGGCCATATAGGTCTCCTGTATTAAGCACTCTGGTGTGAACAGGCGTAACCCAAAAGCGCACCTAAATTTTTTAAGCACTCTTTTGACTTAAGCCCCTGTCGGGGAAATAGACCCCATTGTTATTTTCGTTATTTCGTCACTACTTTTTATTATTAATCTTGAACTTTAAACAAAGCAATTAGAAGTTATATTTATTTTTGTTTTTTAAAATAATGTAAATAACTGGGCTAGGAAATGTGATTAATGTGTATTTCTGGCATTATTTTTAAGTCATATTACATCATTATTTCTTTGATCACATTGAAGCATGCAGTATTTTGATGTTTAAATGGGAGAACAGCATGCCCTATATTTTAATAGGGGCTTATAAGAGTTTATGTCATGACGTTGCACAGAATCCCAGAGTTTACAGCTAAATTCAAAATATTTGGTAATTCCGAAATATTATATTTGTTAGCAAAATATGTGAAATATAGTATGCAAAGTTAGCAGTATGTCCAATTCTTCAGTATGGATGAGACAGTAGGCGAACGGTACCTGGATGACATACTATATTCTGCGAAACTCCGAAGTGTGATGGATGCTACCTTATCCCACAAGGCCACTGGGGGTGCAAACGTAATGTCGCTCGCTCGGAACAAAGTGTCAAGATGGCAGAGGAACTGCAGTCTCTCTTCAAATATAAGTAGAAAACCATACTCAGTTACATATGTTTATTTGAATATTATTTTTTCCGTTTTTAACTTTCTCGGGGGTCAAGCTACATCACTGGTAAACATCCATGTCAGAGAATATGCAAGATGGCAACCACAATATGTCCGAGTGCATGCATACTACTGGCATGTATACAAACTGTACAGTATGTGCTACATTAATAGTCAAATAATAGGGTTCTGAAGATATTCAATACATTCTGTATAAGTATGAGATTTTGAATGAATCCATTCAGTTGGCATTTCACGTGGAAGCTGATGTAACCTGGTTTAATTGCTTTAATAAATTGTTGGATGTTGCATACATAGGATAAAAATATCCAAATTTGCAATATTCATTTTATTTTATGGAAGGCTTATACCTTTAAATACTAAGAAGTTTCATGTCATTAACTGTTCTTTCAGTGCTTGTTAGGCATCTGTTTTTATAGCCATCTGCCAAACATGTTTTAGGTTTTAGACTGATAACATAGTCAGGATTAAATAGTGTTTTGATCCACCTGTTGAGTACATGCAGTTATATGTATATATGGCATTTGCCAATTCACCAAGTTGTGTGGTATTTCACCAAGTTGTGCGATTAAAAAAAATCGTTTGACATCCTTACTGATAGTACAATGTCCCCTCTGTTCTTACTGCCATCTGTTCATCTAGCATTTTTGAAAGCATTGAAATTCAGCTTGTACTTGCTTGCAAGTAGTATTTTTGTTGGAAATTAATAAGCCGTACATCTCAACTTTAGTTTAAACCATGAAACATGTAGTATGGGTCATTTTCACAAATTTGAGAATTAAAAAAAAATGTTAAAGTGAAATTGTTTTTGTGTAGAGTAAGTGGTATTAATTTAACTTATTAACCATATCACAATTACATTAATTTGATTATTTTTAACCCCTTTCCCCAAATAGTCAACGAAAAATCAAATAACATAAAGCTAGATAAAATTTATATAAATCTGTCACCTTTATTGCATGTAACCACAATAAACACTCAATCTGTATGATGAGATTTTTAGCCAATTCTTGGTTAGTTTTGCCGTTTTTGCTTATCTCCATAACTCTGGCCCTGGATTTGATGATTTATTTGTTTGTTTGTTATTTATTTATAAAGACAGAAATGAATGCTAATACAACAAAATGAATTAATTACCCCAGAGGCACAATCAGCAGTTTAGACAATGAAGTGTATAACAATAAATAATTTGAGTCTCCTGTCTTGAAAATAATTTTAAAAATTAGAGAAAATTGCTATATTATGTTAATGGATTTGTAAGAATGACCCATATACCCCCCTTTGTGTTAATTCCACGTTCTATTGGTGATTCAATGTATAAATATTTATGATTTATTCATAAATTCTAATGTTAGGTCTGATTAATCATAGAAAACTGTGTAATTAGTTAATTTTTTAATTGATTCACAGCCCTATAAAATAATAAAATCTAATGGAACTTAAAGAATAATAAACAAGGTACACAGTAAGATGACAAAAATGCTCAATCAATTCATCCGATCCTTTTCCAAATTACCGTGTCCTCATGCATTTCTTAACGATGGGGAAAAGTTCGGAGAAATGCATGGTTAGTCTGTTTCGTCATTGTGTGAACGTCTTAGTGTACTACACAAAAATAGAAGGTATAGTCTACTACACACCAAGGCTACATTAAACTCTAAGTGCAAACTGTAAAATGATGATAAAAAGTACAATAAGGTGAATCGATAAAACAGTAACATAGTTGTTTATTATTCGGCTATACTTTTATATGATTGGCTACAACACCACTAGGCAATAGGAATTTTTCAGCTCCATAACAATCTTACGGAAGACGCTGTCATAAATGTGGTCCGTAATTGAAAGAAGCATCATTACATACGACTCTGATGTCCTTCATTCCATTCCCGTGTCGGGTAGCTCTCGTTGCCGCCTCACCCCGAGCAAGTGTTACAGTGACATTTTTATTTCATTGTGATCTACAATAATAAATATTCTTGGTGTCATTATTTGACCAGTGCTTTGATGTCAAAACATATTGCTGTAGCAGTAATGAAAATCACTTGTGAAGAAAAAAGCTCCTTGGAGTTTGGTTTTGTGCAAAACCATTTCCTGAAGGCTAAAATAAATTAGGTGATTTTCATGAATAAAGAATGCCAAGCATCAAATTTCAACAAAAAGCATTATTTATTTGCTAAAAAGACGCCTGTTGTGGCTGCTGATTTATTTTTGTAAATATACTGTAATGTAGTGAGATACACAAATCAGACTGACAAAAAAAGACTGCTGATGTCCTCTCTTCTGTGCCAGGTGTGCCTGAAAATGAAAGTGAGACTATGTAAAAGAAATCAAAAATCGGGGTGAAAACTAAACCCAAAAAAAAGACTAACTAAATTTTAAGGGGTTGTTTTAAAGGCAATGCTAGCTGGGTAGTGACCTGTCTCCAGCCGTATGTCATTTTGGACATGAACCCACAGCCTGATGCTGGCTGGGGGACTGAAACAACATTCGCTGCGGTTTTCACAGGTGGCCTTTGTCTATGTTGTTGCATTGAGAATACAGCCTCTGGGTCAAAATATCAAGCGTGGGTGGGCCCTGGAGATGCTGTCATGACAGTGTCCCCCCAGGAGTTGTTCTGGTCTGTTAGTGGACGTTAGATCATAAGTCTTGGAGACAGGAGAGGCCATCAGCATTGAAATGACCCCAGTTCAGCCAGAGATGTACATGACAGTAGAAGAGAAGAACCACATGTGTGTGAGTGTCCTTCATCCTGACCATCCATTGTGGGGCAGTACTGCCCATGACCAGAATGAACAGTTGTCCAAGAGCTAATAGCGGGGCTTGGTCACTGCCTTTCCAGTGTCGAAGGTTTCCTTCTATGCAGTGCTGTATCTCTGGTCACTGCCCTTCCAGTGTCACAGGCTTCCTTCTATGCAGTGCTGTATCTTTTCTCCACAGATGTCAACTTCTGGCTCAGGTATGACACTGGAACCTTTCCTGTTAAATTTCCACATCACCATCACACCTCTGTTAGACACATTCATATGGGATGCGAAATGACTGGTTAAAGTCAGGAGGCCCCGCACCAGGCTCCGAAGGTGTCAGAAGGTATCTTAGGTCCTGTGCAGCCCTAAGGAGATAACTCCTCACTCCTAGGACTCACTGGTCACACTGAATGCCACCTTCTTTTGGCATATTAGTGGCACCTGCCAGTAGCTGTTGGTGAGGTCCAAGTTGGGGATGAACTGTGCCCACACCGGCCTCTATATCATCTCATTATCCATAGGCAAAAGTAGACATCAATGCTTGTTCAACACCTCATTCAACTTACGGAAACTGTTACAGAACAAAATGGTGCTACCTGGTTTGGGAAACATCACGAGTAGACTTGACCATCAGCTAAGGCTCTCCTCAGTATTTGTTCAGCATCTTCCTTAATTGGCCTGCTATTATGCAATGATTCCAGACAAGGTGCATGTGTTGTGGTAGGCAACGTGAGTCCAACCAGGAACAGATGGTCACA